CCTGTAATAGACCCCTAACCTCTGTCTGAGTTACTGAATGCCAATGGAGGTGTTGTCTGTATAAGTTTTAATCGACTCAAATATATTTCACTCAGAGTCCCATGCTTAGAAAGTTTTAGAACTCTGATAACAAGGAAGGAAAGGTAAATGTGTAAACAAGCAAGGCACAGTGACCTGGTCTGTTTCAAAAGATCTTCATCCAGGTGTCCATTCAACCTGTAATTAATTGACAGCCAGTAAAATGAACCCTTTCCTGCCAGCTTTTCAATTAGTTTATTCCCAGGGATCCCTCTGTCATAAAGATGTGACTCCTTCTTTTAAGTGTTTACCGTTCTCCCCACATCAAGATAAACATTTTATTTAGTCATGAGTGGAAAGGTGGGTTAGGTTCCCGTAACTATTCACACTTAGATTAAAGTTAAAGGAAGCACCTGAGACAGGCTACTGTACTTATTTCCATCTGGCTGTCTCAGATACATGTTTCTTATCTAGGCAAAAAAAATAATAAAAAAATCTAGGTAATCTCCTTCTCATTGGTAATTTGCTCTCAGAAGGAGGTTGATTGTGTATTTAAACAAGGGAGTCTATACAGAACTAACTCCTGGAAAGTTAATAGTGGAGAAAGCATGTTTTTAATGGAAATTTCAAGAATATTTTATATTCTCTCCCCTCCCCCAATATTTATTCACACTGGTAGAAGTAAATATGGCATCATAGAATATTGCAAATGAAGGAAAGTTTTACTAATTTTATGATTTACCTCCAAATCAGAAGAGCCTAAGGACTTGTCTCCTTGTCACTCTGTATGTTATGGGCCAGGTTCTCAGCTGGTATAAATCAGCACAGGTCCATTGAGTCAACAGTTTGCACCAGCTGAGAATCTGGATCAGTGTCTTTACTACTGCCTCCCACCACCATAAAATAGATCACTTTTTTCATTATAGTTCTGAAGAGGAGTCACTACTCTTCATTTTATAAACAACTGGATATTCCTCTTCTTACATTTGTCCCATCTTTGCCAATAGATTACATTTCCTTTCACTGAAATACCTTCTTTGCATCACAAACCAAATGAACACGAGACACACTGAACTAAAACAGGCCTTTTTCTAAAGAGCTCAAAGGTATAAAATGAAGATTAGATGGGAATCAAGAGCTCATGAACACTGCAAAATTTTACTGAATTCTCATCCCTGGATGAGATTATATTAAGAAGCTAATGACTCTTCTTCTGCCAGCTGGTCAGCAGAAAAGTTCCTTCCCTTGAAATTAATAACTTCTGATCTTTGTTAGTGTATTCGCACATGGTAGTTGGGTCACAGAATAATCCCCCAACAATCCTGAAATCATTATTAATTTGAGTATATTTGTAAAGACCTTCCACACACGTGCATCATGGTTACAGGTTATATAATTGTCTTACTACGTTTTACCAGCTCTCTGCATCTGCACATGATTAAGCGAGACTCAGACTCCTTCCTTCAGCTGTTCAAATTATGCTCTCACTTCCAAATGTTACTTAGATATACTAGAATATTCACCATTCCCTTTCTGCTCCCACCTGAAATAATCGGCATCAAAAAGACATAAAGGGGTAGTTACACTGCATACATTATCCACGAACATCAGTTGTAAATTGGTGCTTTGGTAACATATGTCAGATAATTCCTGCAAAACTTTACTCATTCAAGTAGTACTTGCTCATGCAAGGAGTGCTGTTCGAGTCAACAGAACTCATGTGAGTAAAGGGTTGGAGGATTTGACCTGTAGGAATCATTTCACCAAGAATTTAACCCTGTTTAGAAGAATGAGGTAAGTCAAGCTAGTTTATATCTTTCTACTTATATCAGTTTTATATAGAGCATATCAAATATTTTATTTTTTCCAGATACAAGAAGATTAAGCTTTCTGCACTAGTCTGTATTCCTGTGGGAATATAAAGAGAAAACCATGTCTCTCTTCTTAATATATTAGTGCCTAGTAATAGAGACCAGATGATCAATAAACTACGTAAAAATTAAATCAAACTGACAGTCTTCAGAAAAATGTGCTCTAAGCAGAAACAATTGTTTTAAAGACTGTGGTGTCTAGAATATTAAACTCACATGCTTCTGTTATTAATTTATTTGTTGGAAGCCAGTCGACTTTTCCTGCATGCGTCAATTAAATAGTCAACCTTATACATAACTATCTTCAAATGCTAGATGTTTCAGCATGCAAGGTATTTTGAAAGAAACTGTTGACAATGCTATACTTTTCTTTAAATGCAAAAGCAGAGTTTCTCTAGCAAAGCAAATCAACAGATTTCGAGATACAAGATGTCTTAAATCACTTTCTTCAGTGCACACACAATACTTCAAGAAAATAGTTATTTTTTATTCTATAAATACATATAATGAGATGTCTGTACTTTGAAGGGGAAGGGGAGGACTGGACTACAGCAAATGATGTATCCCAACAACCAAACGTAACCTACAATGCCCATCCTTTCCTTCTCAGCTGTTTCTAAATTTTATGAAATGTGCTTAGTCATTTGTTATGATGTGCTTAATTGTTTGTTACACAGCACCCATCTCCATCTGTAGCTGTCTTTGAAACCTACAAAAGGTGAGTTAGTGTGGTTATTCAGATGGGATAACTGAAGCACAGAAAGTTGAATTCCCCAAGGATACACAACAAGTCTGCACTGGAAACAGGATTGGAACCCAGGTCTGGGATTTCTAGCCGTACATTTGATCCACTAGACCACAGTGCCCCCTGGATACTGTTTAGAGCCATATCCTTTTTCTTTTGTTGCCAGCATAGTGTGTTGTGATACATCATTTTGAGGCCAAAAAAAAAAAAAGCTGTAATAAACCCCAAGTGTTTTCTCCAGTCCCTATGTTTGGCACATGGATTTTATACATTTCTATACACATTTTTTTCCCTTACGTGGGGAGGAGGGAATTGTTGCTTGGAAAAATCAACCTAAAAGCCTACCCCATTGGTTCTTTTTCCTGTCAATTACAGCTGTCAGAAAAGTTAGTGCTGCTACTTCCCAGCATCACAATTTGCGTCTAAGAGAGTATGAAGAGAAGCAGGGGGCCTGATCCTACTCCATTGAAGCAAAACTCTCACTGGGAGCACTGTAGGATCTGGTCTCTGTTTGCTTAAGAAAAAAAAATCACCTTTGCCAACCCCGCACAGCCACCAAAACACACGTGCCCATACTATTCGTGAGTTTGCCTTATGAGTCAGGGATGGGTTGCTGCAAAAAGTTAACACATTCTTATCTGTTTCCACACAGCCAGTAAGGGAAAATGAGCATTTGACATAGTCTTTCTGAGATTAAGAGGCTTGTTCTGAATCCTTTGAGTTTAAGTGTTAATCATCATATGACACATAATAGAGTAATGAGAGAGGGCTTTCACCTCCTGAAATAATGTCTCTGAGCCCAGCAGCTTGACACAGCATCTCAGTCAGCATTTACAAACTATACAGCGCCTGAGGGGAACGGGACGAGTTTGTTTTCACAAGAGTGACTTATTATGTCTTGTCCTTGCATTAATTTACACTGGGGAGGTACTATTATGATTGTGAAAATGCTTTTAACACGTTATATATATGCCTCAGGTCATGGCACTGGGCAGTATCAACACAAATTACTCAGCACATGGTCAGATCCTCATCTGGTGTAAACTGGTGAACCTCCAATGCAGTCAGTGGACTGATGCCAGCTTACATCAGCTAGGGGTCTTTTAATGCCACAACCTGGCCTGATTCAAGAGGAAGCAGGGCCTGGCTTCTTTATCAGTGTAATCTCTCTATGAAACGCCTATCATCATATCAAAACAAGGCTTGGTAGCTAAACCTATTACAAGTAAAAACTGTGATTTCATCAGTTTCCTGACTTAATCTTGCCTCGCCCCCCAGATCTCTTTCAATGAGTTTTCTAAACTTGAGGCATGCCTGTTTCTTGATTAATGAGACCCATTGCTACTGTGGGAGATGAGTGTTTGTCAGCAGTGGGGCATATCAACTACTGTATCTCACTCTTTTCAACCTCTTACACTGCCCTGTATCGTACCAAGTCCACCCATAAGACCACTATATTTCCCCTTTTTTTGCTTAGTTGCGGAGATATACCGGCACTGTAGTCTGAAAAAGCCTAAAACCTTGAAGACACCAACCTGGTAGGACAAATCACACATTACCTCCCAAACTGTAACCACTGCTTCCCGCTCCCCCCCTGCGGTTCTTGTACTTTGCAGAAGGACACATACTACATGTTCCCAACAGACTAAATCTGGGATGGCACCTTTCAAACTATTGTTTAGACAGAAATAAAATGAAAACCATGCCTGTTCCCCAGGCCGCTCCTAAAGCTAGCAAGTTTGGGAGATGCTGTGTTTACATACTGAGGACAGACAGAAGCTCTGCTCACTGCTGGGACATCCATTTTATTTGGATTGACACCAGGACTACTTTGTGTTTTCAATACATCGCTGTGGCTTTCACACGGGGGGGAGGCTTTCGAAAGTCAACTCAAGCCACGGTCGTTGCCCCAGTGGCCTTTAGCAACATCTTCGCAACTTTGTCCCTATTTTTGTAACAAACCCCTCGGGAGGGGGATTTGGTTTGGACACAGCCAGTGCAAACTGCCACTCTAGCAAATCTTTGCAGTGCTTTTTTTTTTTTGGCATAATTTTTCAAACAGGGCGGGCAGATTGGGAATATACAGCTGACTGCACGGGAGAAAAAGAGAGAGAGTGGGGGGACAAAAAGAGCTCTTGCAAAAGAGACCGCCAGCAGCAGCAAAACTGGAAAATGCAAGGGGTGGGGGGAGAAGTCAGCAAGTAAGATGCATTTGCAAAAGGCAAAAAAACCCCAAAAAACACAACCCAAAGCTCTTCCTTTTCAGTTTCAGCAGAGAGTGAGCCGCAAGAGGGGACGGGGGAGGGGAGCAGAGAAGTGCATGAACCACAAGAGAGAGAAGAAAGTTGCGGGTCGGCGACGCTCACCCATGAAAAGGCAGAGGAGATCCAGGCAGACGAGCAGCCCTTTCTTGCTGCTGCTCTTGGCCGGGTTGTTGTTCAGGGCAGGACTGCCCCCGTTCTTGCTCTCCGGAGCGATCGCTTTGTCGTACTTGTAGTTCTGCATGATCTGGGGGGGAAGCAAACCCGGTCCCCAAGCGGCAATCCAGGCGCTGGAGAGGCAGGGGCGCGCTGCCCGGGTTGGGCTCGCAGGAGGCGGTCGCTGGTGGACAGACTTTGTTTAGGCGGTGGTGTGGCTGCTGTATAAACTTCTTCCCGGCGGGGGAAAGCAGGGGAGGGCCAGAGGGAGGCGAGAGGTACGTTTGTGTTCGTCTCAAACCGTTCAATGTCCTTGTGGGGAGAGAAAAATAAAAGGGGGGAAAAATGCGATCGAGAAAAAGTTGGCCAAGTTTGGAAATCACCAAGTCCTGGGGGGGTGTAATAGTAGCGGCACCGGAGCCCCCTTTGGATGCTGGCTCAATGAATGGAAGTTGGGATCTTGCAAAGCAACTTCCCCAGCCGGTTTAACACAAAGCTCTGCTTTTGCTTGGGGGCTGCAGCTTCTGCTGCTGGCAGGGGCTGGTGCCTGTACTTTTATTTCCCCAGGTCCTTTCCACCCCTTTAACAACACACACACACACACACACACACACACACACACAAAGAAAAGAAACCCGAAGTCACTCTGGCTCTGATGGGATATCCAAGTACAGCCCCCTTCCTGAGGCTGACATATACATATGATAATTAACTCCACATTTTTTTTTTTTTTTTGCAGAGGGAAGAAAAGCAAAAAAAAAAAAAAAAAAAAAAGT